TTGCCCAAAAGGAAATATAGAAAACATGTCATTGAGGTTTTGGTAAGATTGCTTCAAGTAAAATGAAGAAATAATTAACTTCTAAATTCTAATGTTATATTATATGCATGAAGCATTGACTTAGCTATAAAAAAAAGAGGATGAATTTTACTCAAAAGCTTTAATGGATTTCAAAACAGAGGAAAAACCAATGTTTGACCAATGTTTTATATAAAGGGCATTTAAGGAGTTTACCAACCCACAGAATATAATAGTTGTTTATCTGGCTAGTAGATCAAAGCTTTTTCTGTTAAATAGATAGTTTATAATACTTTTCCACTTCACAATCAGGTATCAGTACTCCTGAAACATTATCTTATACCAAGAGTAGAACAGCAACAACAAAATTTACACACATTTGTGACAAAGAAAACTATATGAAAGTGCCAACATTTATTAACAGTTTCTTTAAAAAATGAAGGAAAATTTGATCAAGCTTATAAAATAAACAATGCAGATTAATAATTTACTTACATTGTATTATTTACAAAATAAAACCAGAAAACACATCCTGAACATCAAATAAATTCCAGTTTGGCCATTAAGATACTTTGAGAACACACATCTTCCTATACCAGGGAAAATTCTAACAGTTAAATAGTCTCCATGTGTTTATATAATTCAGATGGAATGATAATTCCACAAATCATTACAGATTCTTACTTCATAAGTAACTAGTCCACCTAAGAATAATTATTTATCAATTAAATTACTGAAAAATTCATGTGGAATTCATATACCTATTTGTTTAAATTAAATAAGTCTATAGAAAGTCTTTTAAATTGAATTAAGTGTATGATTTAATTTTTTAGAGAGGCATCAGAGATCTTAACATAGTTGGGTGGGATCCCTGTATTTCTCTGCACCTTTATGAAGTTCTATAGAGAATTGAACTTGAGTAATATTTTTGACTTCTCTGCATCATTTCAACTGTGATTTGCTTTCTCACATGGCTCCTGTATATTAAAGACTCTATCCTCCTTTTTCAGCCTTTCTTCTGCTACCTTCTGTTTCTGATTTTAAAACATAAATATCACTACTTTCCCCAAGACAGGATAAATCATGTGCTATTTCCTCTATAATGTCTCCTTTAGCAATTATATTCTCTCTCTCCTAACTTCAACAACCACGACTGTCTGTAGTCCATACTTCATGCCATTGCACAAATATATCTAGAATGGCTCTTCTGTCCATTGTGGTCACCACTAATTGTCAGGTTAACATAACCCTGTTAAATGGATCACTTGAGAAAATTCAGCAAAGGAATATAGAATACTGATACCTTGGGGGACCAATCAACTGGACAACCTTATTAAAGTGCTTCTATGAGGATATGTGACAATGCAAGAAAACACCTGGCTGTTATTATTTTGTGGGCTTTGGTCATAAACTAAAACAAGACCTATTTTTATTCTTTTAACTGCATAGCCTTGATATAGCTTCTCTCCCCAAAATTAGATTTATTTCAGAAACCATATTCATCTGAGTTCATTAGTTTATCTATTAGATATCTTTTCTATATTAATTACTGAACTATTTCTCTGTAGATCCCACACAATAGCAAATATTAAGATAACTCTGTAGCAACTGATTTATTATACATTGTTGCCCATTTTTGGAATCATAACAGAATCAATTCTTACTGAATGCTTGTCTTCCATCAGGCACAATAATGCTGTGACGTGTTATTATTACCAAAATATAGATAGGATCCATCAAGTAACTCGTCTGAAATTTCAAAGAAGGCAGCAGAATCAGGATTCCATCCAGCTCTGAACAAAAAATCTAGTCTCTTGCCATAATGTTCCAGATGGCAACAAGTCTTTCTTGCTATCTGTTTTGAGTATCTGCTCATTTGGAATCTCTATTAGCAGCAATCTGCTGGGACTGCCTTAGTTTTTGTTGCTGCTGTTTTATTTTTGATGGACAAATAATAAATATTTTTGTTATGGGATACAATATGATGTTGCAATTCATGTATTTATCATCACATGTGATGATAAAATCAGGGAAATTAACATATTATTTCTTTATCATTGCATTACAATGCAAAATCCTCTTATCTAGCTATTTTGAAATAAATTTTTAAAAGGTATTCACACAGAATTTTGGAGTACAATTCTGGTTACAAGATGGCAACAAGTCTTTCTTGCTATCTGTTTTGATTATCTGGTTATAAGAGGCTGAATAGAATAGGGAAAGGGAAGTGAAGGAGAGTTTTGTCAATATTTACAAAGTTACAGGTAGAGAGGAGCAAGAAGCTGTAGTGTTCTAGTTCATAGTAGAGTGATTATAGATTACAATAATGCTTTATAACAGTTTTAAATTAGGATTGGGTTTGAATCTCAGGTCTTTTCACCTAGTTGTACAAATTCAGTCAAAATAATACTAATTTACAAGCCATACTTTTATCCTGTGTAAATTGACAAAATGATATGTGTCTTACAGAGTTGGATATGAATTAAATTAGACAAGTATAATAAAGAACTTAGTGTAGTGCCTGAAATGTCCTTTATGGAAGGCAACTCTTATGATAACTGTTATCTATCCTTGGCCCCCAGAATCTCAGGTCTCTCTTTACCATAGCAGTATACTTCATTACTTTTTTAGTTACTCTGTGAAATCTCCTGTTAAAATATATATATTAGACACATAAGATATTTTAAGGTCACTTCTAGGGAACAGAAATATAAATCTAATGAATGCACATATAGCATATAGGAATTCATAGCATTTTGATTAAGGAAATTAACTAGAAGGATACTATTTTTCACAAAGTCATCAGTAAATGAAAATATTTTGGTTCCAAGACTGATGGGGGTTTTAGTCAACCAATCACACACTAATAAGGATTTAAGTGATACCACTATATACTAATTGAAAGAAAAATGCCAAATCAAAGTGTTTACAATTTAAAAGACCTCCTGTGATATGATATCTTGAGGTCTGATTTGAGAAACATTTTCTGAGTTCGTATAAATTAATATAGAGTATATATTGACCAAAGAATTTTTTAAGAAAATAAATTTTCTTGTTCACTCTGTGTTGAGTTACTTAATGAAATGTGGTTATGAAGTAATATTGAAAAGTGACTCGCTCAAATTTTTCAATTTCATTTTTCTTTTTCTTGTTTTATTTTTTTAGGGTTCAAGCCCAAGGGTGCTCTACCACTGAGCTACATCCCCAGTTATTTTACTTTTTATTTTGATAGAAGGTCTTGCTAAATTGCTGAGAGACATGCTAAGTTGCTGAGGCTGGCCTCAGACTTGTGATCCTCCTGCTTCAGCCTCCTGAGTTGCTGAGATTATAGGCTTCTGCTACCACACTTGGCTTAATTTTGAATTTCTTAAATAAGGTAGTTATGGAAGACAGTTGTTAAGTTGGTTCCCAACAGTTCCACCTCCTAGGATTCACCTTGGTGTAATCACCTCCCTTTGAGTGTAGTTAGCATTTGTGACTCACTTCTAAAAAATAGAATATGACAAAAGTGATAGGATGTCATTTTAATGGTTATGTTACATAAGATTTTAACTTCATTCTTGCCACCAACTTTATCCCTTGCTAGCTTCAATAAAACCAGCTGCCATGTCATGTGCTGCGCTATGAAAATTCCCACACAACAATGAACTGAGTTCTGTCTCCAGTCTACAGCTTAAAAGTACATGATATTCTAGTCCAAATCCCCAAAGAGACTTAATATTGTCATCAGTATAATATATGAGCTTGGAAATATATCCCGCCCCTGTTAATCCTCAGATGAAATACCATCCCTGGTCACAATTGGAACCTCATGAGAAATGCTGAGGCAGAGGAACAACCTAAATTGTGCTGGAATTTCTGACCCACACAACCCGTAAGACAGTCTGTCAATTTGAACTTCTAAGTTTGTGGTAATTTGCATAATCACAAGTAAACAATACAGAAAAATAATTGTGATGTTTGCAATCATCATTCAATGCATGTTCATCACAACATCAGGCTCCCTGAGATGTGAAATAGCTATGTAAGAGATATTGCTAAATCCTCAAAATTACATTATAAATCTATGACTTAGGGGCTATTACTTTTCTAAAGGTCCATATCAATGATCTCTTTTCTGTACTTTATTAGTGAACATCTAGCATTAAAATAATGTTGACTTAATTAAAAAATATCATAGATGAGAATGAATCAATAAATAAGCTGGACACATCTGATAATTCTTTGAATTAGGTAAAGTTATGTCTAGCCATTTTCCTGTACATAATCGAATGTTTCTTCAAATAGGCATCAGGCTTTATTATTCTAATTAAATTTCAAATAAATTTGTTTTGTGTTTCAAAAATTATATTTATGAGAGTATTGAATAAAATCAGGAAGTGATATCAAATACTATTTGTTTTGTGTGATATTATTTATCAATAATTTCTAATCACATTTTTCTTTCAACATTTTACCTCCCATTCAGCACAATATAAACACTGTTCAAAATCTTTGCATGTTTGCAAATATAACTTGTGTTCTCAAATATAAGTAAATGACAGTTTCAATCATAGCACTTTATTCAAATTGCTTAATTTCTGTATTTTAACAGTGAGTTTGCATGAAGAATGGTCAAAAAGAGGCTGCATATCAAAATCACTTCATCTTACTCATTATAGTTTTATTTTTTAAGTGTGCAAAATGTTATTTCATAGTCACTGGGTCCTTGATATTCTGAAAAAGGGAATGAAACAAAAGATTGGAGGTAAAGGCACTGAATAAAACTCCTTTTGAAATGCAGAAAATTAAGAAAAAATAAAGTGAAAATTAAATACTAATAAAGAAAATGAAAATAAAAATAAAAGTTAAGAAAAAATTCAAATAAAATGAAGAAAAAATAAATTAAAACAAAAGTTTCAATCCCTTTAGAATCTTATAGCAAGTTATTTGAAATTTTTAATGAGTAAGATTTTTATTTGGGTTGTTAAGTAAGCACAGTTTTAGTGCTTTGATGTTGCTTGCTGCTGGTCAAAATCATTTATTAATTTTTTAATATGAACCAGCTTGTTGTAAAGATATACACATCTACATTTTTCTGCAGCAAAATTAGGGTTAAGCTGTCTCATCTGCTGATATTCTAGTGAGATTCTTTGATTTATATTGTGATACTCTTTTGAGTTTGGAGATACCAGCTTCCTTTCTGATTCTAAGCTAATAAAAACTTTAGATAAGTTCAGCATCTTGGCATACAATGTCTGATATTCATCATAATCTACTCTAAATTCCTGTTCATAATGCCAACGTTGCTCTGGAGAAACTATAGTGTGATATTTAGTCAAATAATCCTCAAGTCCAGATGCTGAATAGGTATTCTCAGAGGTAGAACTTTCTTTTTGAAATGCTTTGCTAGAATTTGCGTTTGTAACTTTATCTTGGTTTTTAGAACTTGTCTTCTTCTCTGTCATGTCAGTATTACAACTTTGTTTTTTTGCTTTATGTTTAAACTTCTCATCAGATACCAAATTTTTCTTCTCCCCCAGCTTTGGATACATTTGAAATGAGATAGAAGCTAAGTTTTCCAAAGAAGTATGCTCTTTAGGTTGGCTTGGAAAGATAATAGTATCTTGACTGACACTGCCCATATATGGATCTTGAGTTCCACATCTTTGTGGATTGCTACAGGAATTACTGTTGGAATTTACAGGCAAAGAAGTATTTGAAATGGATGGGTAGGTTGTAGAAAATGCTGGGCAGCTCTGTTTGGCTGGAGTTACAGAGGATTTTTCCTGGTTATTAGTCAAGTAGTTATTTGATCTTGGCTGTGCTGAAGTTGTCAGGTGAGATATTCTAGGCCCTCTTTTCATTAAATAATCAGTACCATCCAACTTTAAAAGCTTAGTTTGAGAAGATGATGTGCCATCTTTAATAGAATCTATAGAAGATTCTGGGTGATGGGTGTCAGTAGCATTCTGAAATGAATCCATTTTTGTAGAAAGTACCAAATCCAATGATTGCTTATCTAGTTCACTATATCCAGGCCAATCTCTCTGGATCTCTCTATAAATGCAATTCTTTAAGGAATATGAAAAATTCTGGGTATTTAAGTCAGCTACCTGGTAAAGAATATTTCCAAGGGAATTCTTGTCACTTTTTTCAATGCCATCTTTCTGCAGTCTAATAAGCAGCTCGGATTTCTTGTAGTCCTTCAGTGCCAATAAGTGAATTACCCTTTCCCTATATGGCCGCATTTGGACACTATTAGCAATCCGTGACTTTCGAATTGTGTATGCAGGGTTAATGGGGGCTGTTCTTTTCCTCTCAGGTGCTGGATCTGGAAAAATATGTGGTGCTTTTCGAATTGGCACTCTTTTCGCTATTTGTGGTTTCCTAATAATTTTCCGTTTGTTGCAGGATTGATCTTCTGCCTGGGCCTCTCCTACTGGCATCATCTGAATAGAGCTGTTTATTGTACTCACTGACATTTCATCTGCTATAGTTTGTGCACAACTGAGATGTAAGGGACTACAGATTGAAACAGTTTGTTGGGGATGATCAATTATGCCTTGATTATTTTCATTACTTACATTTGACAACTGTAAGTTATAGTTGGGCACATCAGTATGTGAATTTGTGGGGAGATTGTTGATAAGCCTTTGAAAATCTTGTATTTGAGGAGAAACTTGAGGAGGTTGAATATTCTGAAGGTTCGGATGGGAGTAACTTGCCTGGAAGACTGGCCCGGTGAATCCCACAGGCAGGCAGATGTCATTATCTTGTCCTAGCTTTAAGCTTTCTGCTTCCTCCATGGACACACATCTTTCCTGGTGTCCTGCTGCCTCAACTTCTCTGCCTCCAAAGGCTGCCAAATAATCATAACTGAAAAGATCAAATTTCAATCAATAAAGTATTTAAGAAAACGGTTACTCTTACTGGCAAAAATTATTTCTTATTTACTATTGTTTGTAAAACTCTAATCATAAAAGATTTGTCCCAATGGAACAAAGCAGAAAAATACCTGATTGAGAAAGAATTTGGAGAGGAAAGTTGGTTGTAAAAGTCTAATTTACTTTTGTTCCTCTTTTTTGGGTTCTTTTCAGGATAACCCAAACAAGAAAGTGCTAAATAATTCTGTGAATTCACTGTATAAAGCCATCTTTTTCTAGTGAATTCAATATCAAGTAAGCATACTAAGTATGAGGATCAAAAGGATCCACAGGCTATTGGAGACTGGAAGACATGGCTTCCATATGACATGAAGCCTTCCTTACATATTCTCTGACATGAGAATCAACTCATATCATTATTGGGTTGGGGTCTTGACCTATCTACAGAGGAGCTCATTTGATAGCTAAATGTGTTATTTAGATTAATAATAAGTAAAAAACCCCACATATTTTCGAGATGCCTACTACTCTTTCACAACCTTTTAACCATTACTAATAAGTGATTTTCACATCGTTAGGTTGTCACTTACACCCATTATTCTGCTTCTTTGCACCCCTCCTCCAGAGAATCCTCAGCAAACTTATCCAGGTGCTTAAGTGTTTTGCCCATGTTGATAGAAACACTCTAGCTAGGCATTTTAGAGGTGTACAATTTAGTCTCCAAATGTACACAAATTACTAGGAATCAGTTCTAATCAGTTTCACCTCATAAATAGGCACAACTCCCTCCTTCCCCCAAACTCCTAGTCTAATCCTTAGATTTCCCTAGGTATCTAAGGAATCACCTTTTACGTAGCCACACACCTAGAATACCTGTGTCACATGGACTAACCCTCAAATATACTTCTCATTAATTTCTCTCAAATATCTCTAATATTTAGTTAGCCACCAATTTTTCTATTCATACAATAGATAGTCATTGAGCACTATCATGTGCCTGATAATGTTTTTGATTTTGAGAACTATTGCAATGAATAAAATAGAAAAAAATATCTCTGTTTTCATTATGGCTACATCCCTGTAAGATTTTAATGCAGAACATCTCAAATACATCACTTAGTTCCCATCCCATGGAGGTCATTGAGCTAAATTAGGCAGAGAACATCTTTGCATACATTATGTACTCTCCACAATATTTGATTGCTTGCTTCCAGTGTTTTCTGGTCTTCAATCATCTTTTGAACTGCTAGCAATGATTTCAATCAGCAATGCTTTAAAAGATATAATGGGTTCCATTACTTCAAAAATAAAATAAAACTATTTGGTGTGACATACAGGAGCCTTCTTATTCAATCCCCTATTTATATTAAAGCCTGTGACATGTGTCTAGAAGCTGCATTGATCTGCTTCCCATTTTCTGAGTATGTCTCATGCTTGTTCCTGCTTCAGGCTTTCATTTGATATTCCTTCTTCCCATTATGCTCTTCCCAATGATTTTGTATACATTATTCCTCTACTTTGGAGAGTCCTTGCATGACCATTCTGTCTAAAATAGTATCCTACATTGACACTCATATTCAGGACTTTTCCCACTATTTTGTTCACATTTCTTTAGAGCATATTTATTACCTAGAATTATATTACATATATAATTTTGTTTCACATAAGTCTTCTTCACCAGAATATGGCCTTAATGAGGGATTGCATTTAGTCCATTTTTTTGCAATGCTCTATCTCCAGTAGCTAACTGTGCCTGGAACACATAGTAAGCATTTATAACTTATTGAGCAAATTAATATATCAATATCAACTATTTTTAAATTTCACTTTGGATGAATTTACCTTAAGTTTCTATTCAACATTAGCTTATTAGCTCAAATGTAACGTCATGAATAAATAAGATCTCTCTGTAATTGAAACTAATACTTCCCTTCATTATAATCCCAAAGTATTTTGTGCAAACTCTAAAATACCATATACTTCATCATAATTACTTAACTGTTTGTCTCCTCCAATGGACTATGACCTCTATATCCATAGCGAGTACATTCTATTCAGTTTGTATGAGTCCTCCTTTTTGTTTCTGCCACTTCACTCTAAAAGTAGCAGGCGTATATGAGAAGACCATCTCTAAGTGTTTGGAAAGGGGATGAATAGTAGCACTTTTTCATTTCTCCAGGCAAAGATATATTACTATCTCATCAAGGAGTAATGAAAAATCTATCAATGTCAAAGAAAGGTTTCATTCCTCTAACATTTTTTCAGGTTTTTGTTAACTTCACAGCATAATTATATAAAAGTACCAAAATTACTGATGTAGAGAGAACATAAAATCCTTCCTCAGAAAACCAATGGGCTACTGAAGTATACTCAGCAATATAGTGTTTTAGTACATATATACAAATGCTTTATTGGATTCTTCCTGGAAATCTGTAGTAAAAACTGGAAGAAATAATTTAATCTCAAGTACATTTATGTCTGCAATCTTTGGGACAATAACTAAAATAGTCCTTGAGAAATCCTATTTCCACTAAACCTAACAACAAAATACATGTTGGCAACAGACTGCAAAGAGAGGCATATTGAGACAAAAAAGTACAAAGTTGTATTGACAGATATAAAAAAAGACTTGAAATCATAAAGAAATATTTCAGTATCTCTGAGAAGAAAACTGAGTAGTGTATGGATGTCACATATTTCCTAATGAATACATACATGTAATATGATTGCAATAAAAACTTCATTGGGATTTTCCTTTGCATCTGCAAAACTATTCTAAAATTCAATTGTAAGAAGGACTAAAAGAATTTTGCAAAGGATAGTAACAATATGGAGCCTCTCTATTGGTAATATAAAACTATAATATTTAACATAATAAGGAACTAATAGAAGAAGAGATACAAAATGGATGCAAGTGAACAGATAATTTGAGACACAAAGCCCAGAAAGAAAGTAGATGATAAACAGGACCATCAATAGTCATTGAAGAAAACTACCTTATATTAGACAAAGGTGCCAAAAGCATGCACTGGGGAAAGGATAGCATCTTAAACAAATGGTGCTGGGAGAACTGGAAATCCATATGTAACAAAATGAAATTGAATCCCTATCTCTCACCATGCACAAAAGTTAACTCAAAATGGATCAAGGATCTAGGAATTAGACCAGAGACTCTCTATCTAATAGAAGGAAATGTTGGCCCTAATATCATGTGGGATTAGGCCCCAACTTCCTTAATAAGACTCCTATAGCACAAGAATTAAAACCAAGAATCAACAAATGGGTTGGATTCAAAATAAAAAGTTTTTCTCAGCAAAAAAATAATCTGTGAGGTGAATAGAGAGCCTACATCCTGGGAACAAATTTTTACCCCTCACACATCAGATAGAGCTCTAATCTCTAGGGTTTATAAAGAACTCAACAAGATAAGCACCAAAAAAAATAATAATAATCCAATCAATAAATGGGCCAAGGACCTGAACAAACACTTCTCATAAGAGGATATATAATCTATCAACAAATATATGAAAAATGCTCATCATCTCTAGCAATTAGATAAATGCAAATCAAAACCACTCTAAGATTTCATGTCACTCCAGTTGTAATGGCAAGCTATTAAGAATACAAACAATGTGAGTTGGTGAGGATGTGGGGGGAAAGGCACACTCATACATTGCTGGTGGGACTGCAAATTAGTGCAGCCAATATGGAAAGCAGTATGGAGATTTCTTGGAAAGCTGGGAATGGAACCACTATTTGACCCAGCTATTCCCCTTCTCGGAATATACCCAAAAGACCTGTGAGAGAATAGGAGACATTTATGCCAGTTATCTTTAATTTCCCTGATATTCACTCTATAGTCATTTTCCTGATTTTGTAGTAAAACAAAGTAGAAAACAAACCTAGTTTGAATCATTCTCACACTTATCAAAGCTCTTAAGGTTGAGCCTCGTATAAGACTACATCTACCAATCATTACCTATCCATTGTTCTTGATCATCATCCAGTATATGAGCTCCTCTCTCTTCGATGTGTGTTTTCACACTGCGCTGAACTTCCTTTGCTATGAGACCATATACATTCTCACACTTCTAGAATTCTGACTTCACAATCACCAATCTACTCTAACATTCTCTACCTCCTTATATAAAATGAAACTCCACTTTCTCCATGGGTGCTTCTTTACTATAGCTCTCTTGAAAGAATCCACATATTTTTTCAGAATTCTTATAGCACAAGATTGATTTCTTAGTCTATTCAGGTTGTTATAAAATTATTATAGACTAGGTAGTTTATAAATAACAGAAATTTATTTCTCACAGTTTATTTTTGTTGTAGATAGACAAAACACTTTTATTTACTATTGTTAGATGGTGCTGAGGATTGAACCTATTGCCTCATATATGCTAGGCAAGCACTGTACCACTGAGCTACAACCCCAGCCCTATTTCTCACAGTTTTGAGGCTGGGGATACAAGTTGCCTGAAGATTCACCATCTGGTGAGGGCCTGCTTTTTTGGTTCGTAGACGTTCCTTCTTACTATGTCCTCAAATAGCAGAAGAGGTGAGGTTTTTCTCTGGGGTCTCTTTTATAAGGACAGTAATCCCATCCATGAGGTTTCATCCTCATGACCTGGTCATTTATCAAATGCCTCACCCTACCATCATGTGAATTTTAGAGAGACATATTAAACCATGGTCATTTCACTCCTACCTTCCCCAAAATGTATGTCCTTCTTACATAAAAATGTACTTACTTCATCTCAATAGCCCCCAAATTTTTAATAAATTTCAGCACCAACTAACAGGTTTAAAGTTCAAAGTCTCATATAAATATCCTCTAAATCAGATAAGGGTGAGATTCAAGGTACAATTTATTCTGAGGCAAATTACTCTCCAACTGTGAGCCTGTGAAATACAAT